CAAAATATAAATAAAGAGCAAATTAAAAGATATGTCATAGCAAGTATGGAGATAGATCTTTTTCAAATGGGAAGGGGATCAAGAGATGAAGGGGGAGGGAAGGGGTAAGGGATGAAAAAATTGAGATATGTACCTGTACCAACTCCTCATAAAGAATATAATCATTATATAATCCAAACATGTACTAAAAATAAAGAGAAAAAACCAAATCAGTGAACAGTCCTTAAATATTTTGGTATTAACACATTTTTAAATAATGCAAAGAACTCTTAAGGGAAATTTAAAAGTATTTTGAACTAAATGAAGAAAGAAACACAACTGAAAATCTGTGGGATAGTGAAACATCAGGTGGGAAGAGAAGTATGGTATTGAATATATATTTTTTAAGGAAAAATTCCTAGAATCTAAGCTTCTATGTTAGGACACTAAGAAAAAGAAGAGTAACTTAAGATTAATGCAAGCAGAAGAACAGAAACAATAAAAATTAGAACAGATATCAGTAAAATTGGAAAAAGGAAAACAATAGAGAAAATCCACAAAGCCAAAAGCTGGTTCTTTGAAAAGATGCATAAAACTAATAAATCTCTTTCTAAACTAACGAGAAAAAAAGAAAGAAGTCATAAATTACACTTACCAGGAATGAGAGGTGCCATCTCTACTGATCTCTTCAACATGATAAGTATAATCACGAAATGCTATGAACAACCTCTATGCCCACAAATGTGATTACCTGGATGAAATGGTGCAATGCTTTCAAAACCACAAATTACCAAAATGCACACAAGGAGAATTAGATAATCACAGATCTATATCTATTAAGGAAATTAAACATTTAATTAACAAACTTCCACAAAAGAAAGTACTGGGCCCAGATGATTTCTCTGATGAATGCTACCACACATTTAAGGGTGAATGATGTTAATGCTCTATAATCTCCTTGACAAAATAGAAACAGAGGATAAACTTCCTAAGTCATTCTAAAAGGGGGGCATTACACCAATACCAAAGCTGACAGACAAGGACATAGCAAGAAAGGGAAACTACCGATCAGTATGTCTTATGAGCACAGATACAAAAATCCTCATCAAAATATAGCAAACTGAATCCAATAATATTTAAAAGAAATTGTACACCATGAGCAACTGGGATTGATTCCAGATCTGTAAGGCTGGTCCTAAATTGTAAAATCAGTGTAATCAATGTAATCTACCAATGTAAAATCACATGATTATATCAACTGATGTAGAAAACTCTTATTCAGTGTTATACTACAAGTATTAGCAAGTGCAATAACACATGGAAAGGAAATGAAAAGTAGAGATTGGGAAGGAAGGAACAAAACTATCTTTTTCACAGATGACACAATTGTTTATGTAAAAGTTATCAAAGAATTAACAACAACAAGAATTTCGTGAAACAGTAAGTACAGCAAGGTCATGCAATACAAGGTTAATATACAACTGTCAGTTGCTTTCCGATATATCAGTAATGAACAACTAGAATTTGAAATTAAATGAACCATTTGCAATAGTAGCAAAAACGAAATACTTAGCTACAAATCTAACAAAATATGTATAGAATCTATATATGACAAAGAATAAAATTAACATAAGAGATATTCTATGTTCATCGATTAGAAGACTCATTCATTAGGATATCAATTCTTCCCAACTTGATCTATAGGTTTAACACAATCATAGTCAAAATCCCAGCAAATTATTTTGCATAGACAAGCTGATCCTAAGGTTTACATGGAAAAGCGAGAGATATACAGTGGCCAAAGCAATACTGAAGAACAAAGCTGAGGACACACATGACCCAATTTCATGACAGAATATAAAGCTACAGTAATCAAGGTAATGTGGTATTGGTAAAAGAACACATATACCTATGTGAATAGATACATAAATCAATAGAACACAATAGGCAGCCTGGAAGTAGACTTCTGTGGATAAAGCCACAAATATTGACATTTAATAAAAAAACAAAGGCAATTCAATGAAAATAGGATAGTTTTTTCAACAAGTGGTAGTAGAACAACTGGATGCTCATAAGTGAAACAAGCAAACCAACTCAAAACAAATAAATAAAAATCCTAAATCCTAAATACACATCTACATCTTTCCCAAAAATTAACTGAAAATGGATCATGGACATAAATATAAAATGCAAAATTGTAAAACTTCTAGCAGAAAACATAAGATAAAATCAAGGTAACCTGGGTTATGGTGAATTTTTAAATTACCAAAAACATAATCCATGGAAGAAAATTGATGTTATACTTTATTAAAGTAAAAAAATTTACTTTGTGTAAGACTCTGTTTGGAGAATCAAAAGATAAGCCACAGAATGAAAGAATACAGTCTGCAGAACACATAGCTGACAAAGGACTTACATCCAAAATACAGAAAGAATATTTTAAGTGCAAACATTGGAAAACTAATAACCCATTTAAAAAATAAGTGAAAGATTTGAGCAGATACCACATTAAAACAAGATATACAGATGGCAAACAAGCATAAAAGCGATGCTCAGTATCATTTGTCACTAGGGAACTGCAAGTTTAAATAATCCCACACAACCTATTAGAATGGCTAAGATCTCAAAACTGATAATATCAAGTGTTAGTGAGGATGTGGAGCAATGGGAACTCTTATTCATTGCTAGTGGAAATAATGGTACAAGCACTTTAGAAGACATTTGGGCAATTTGTACAATGCTAGACATTGTCTGAATGTGTACAATGCTAGACATTGTACTCCTATGCACTTACTTAACTGATTTAAAACATATGTCCACACAAAAATTTGCTCACAGATGTTTATAGTAGCTTTATTCATAATTGCCCCAAACTAGAAACTACAAAGATTCACCTATTCTTAATTCATCTGTTCATAATTGACCAAAACAGAAAGTAACAATAAATTCACCCACTGTTTAATAGGTGAATGGATAACACAAATTATGGTATATCCATACAATGGAATATTATTCAATGCTAAAAAGAAATCGGCTATTAAGCCACAAGAAGACAGAAATGAACCTTAAAAGCATATGGCTAAGTGAAAGAAGTCAGTCTGAAAGAGTATAGACTGTATGGCTCCAATTATATAATGGTCTGGAAAAGTCAAATCAGTGGCAATAATCAGATGAAAAAAAGATCTGTGGTTGCCAGGGGCTCAAGAGGAGGGGAATATGAGACAAATAGATAAAGTACAGGGGACTTTCAGGATGGTGAAACTATTCTGTGTGATACTGTAATCATGGATACATGACACTGCATTTTTCAAGCCACAGCACTTTGCTACATAAAGAGATGTCTTAGTTATTTTCTCATCACTCAGTGATACACAATACCCAACATCTACAACAAAGGAGGAAAGGTTTATTTAAGCTCACAGTTTGTAGAGCTTTCAGTCCATAGTTGGCTGGCTCCAAGGCAGGGTGGTGTGGCAGAGAAGAACCTGGTCAGGGCAGCAGAAATCAATAGCCCTCAAGGGAAGAGGAGGAATATATACATATCCTTCTAGACCTCACCCACAGTGACCCACATCTTCCCACTAGGCTTCACTTCCCAGATCACACCAAGCTGTGAATCCATCTGTGGACTAATCCAGTACCACACACCCATGATCGACCCTCCTGCCCAAAGCCCTACCTATGAGCACATGAGGCTTTGAAGGAACATCTAGATATAAGCCATAACAAGATGTAAGCTTAATGTATGCAAGTTTTTAAAAAAATTGTTAAGGAGATTGGAGATCCCAGGATGGAATGCTGAATATGCCAAGGAATCTAATCGTATTGCAAATGTATGAGACAATCTGGCTCAAATGCCACGAAGGGGTAAGAATTCACTTAAGTAGCTTTGAAATTCAGCAGTCTGTAAGACTAAAAGTAAAACTGTACATAAGTACTGTATTCTCATTGATAAAATTATTTCCTACAGAAATATAGGTTAAGAATTTTGATACCACTCTACATGTATACTGAAATTGAACAATTAAGTGAATGGATGTTGAATAATGGGAACCTGGTTTCTCACTGTTGGAGTTAGAGTTTGTAGATAAGCAAGGGAAAGAAACTGAAATCTTTCACATGGTGACAGATTAGATTTGAAACAGTAGTTTTATCTCATGTTTAGCTTAATGTATAGATACAGATGGTTACATATACAAATACTATAGATATAGGCATATATATAGGTTAGTATATACAGAGATTTTGCTTTTTACTCTGTAACCTGAAAGAGTCCAGAAGCCATGACACCCCAGCTGCAATGAGCACACCTTAGTGCACTGCTGTTGGTTTCTAATACTCTTCTCCACTAAAAGAAGCCAGAGTTCCCTGAAGAAATGGCTGCTTTTAGCACTGGAGCAGGAAATACACAAGATATTCCTGGAACATATTGTAGCATTAGAAAGTAAGGAAGAACTGAAACAAAAACAAAACAAACAAAAATAAACGACACGTTGTTGGGATAGGTCAAAGGTGCACAGAAGCTAATTAGGAGAGCTCCTAATGGCCGAAGCTAGAAATCCAAGCTACGTAAAAAATATGGTATTACATTATAACCCCAAACATAAGTATACATAAATCCATACTGCTCTAAATAGACAACTCAGTGAATTAATGACTGGAGGAGAGATGACTGTCCCATGCACAAAGATTCCAAATAACTTATGTAAATAGTCTGTTCACAAGGAGGTGGAACTTCACTTCCCTCTCTTTCACTGTGGTTGGCGCATAGGAAGTCCTCCCAAGGAGAATGCTATGGGAGGAGGGAAATTACAGTAGAGACACGTGACACATGCTACCTCAGCCAGGTGGTTACAGAAACATCAGCAGTGCCGAGTCACGCTGATCACCTGTGCCCTTCATATGGCATAACGAAAGATGGCACATTGCCTCTGTGGTCTTCCTTCCAAAACCCATTACCTCAATCTAACCAGGAGAAAGATAACTGACAAATCCCAGCTGGGACACATTCTACAGAATACCTGAGCGCTACTCCTCACAACTGTCCAAGTCACGAAGAGCAAGGAAAATCTGAGAAGCTGCCACAGCTGGGAGGAGCCTCAGGAGATATGATGAGTGAAGGTAATGTGGTGTCCTGGATGGGATTCTGGGACAGAAAAAGAATATTAGGTAAAATTTGAGTAAACAATGGACTTAACTTAATAATAATAATAATACATTAGTAGTTCATTTACTATAGCAAATATACCACAGTAATGTAACTTGTTCCTAAAGTGAAAATGAGGTATGGAGTATATAAGCACTCTATCCTATCTTAGGAATTTTTCTATAAATCCCAAACTATTCCAGAATGAAGTTTCTTTTTTAAAAAAAAATCAATAGAAGCCACCAACGAGCAATAAGAAAATAAAACAGATACATGGGTTCCTTTCACAAAAGCAACAAAACTTTTAAATATCTAAGGAAAAACCAAACAAGAAGTATGCCAGACATATAAAAAGAAGACTATAAAATTTTACTGAAGAACATTAAAGAGAGCTAAATAAATGGAGACACATACATGTTCCTGGATGGGAAACCTCAATATTGTAAATATATCAGTTCTTCCAAGCTAATCCATAAATTTAATTCAATCACAGTCAAATTCCCAGCAGGAGTTTTCACAGAACTTGACAAATTGATTAGAAAATTCACGTGTGGGAGAAAATGCACAAGAATAGCTACGACAATTTTGAAAGGGAAGAACAATAAAAAGGGAGACTTGCTTTACTGTACATCAAAATATTTTATACATTCCTAGGAATGAAAGCTGTGTGCTAGAGCTGTAATCAAAGTAGGTAACAATGAATACGTATGGCATAAGCTCAGACCAATCAGAATGGCTAGGGCCATAAATAGCCAATTTGGCCTGAGGCAGGATTACTGGCCTAATCATCAGACCTAGCACAGGGATAGAGATAGAGAACAATGGCCCTGAATAGAGACCAGAAACACATCCATGTGTATGTGGTAATCTGGTATTTAATGAAGGCGGCTTTTCAAATCAGTAGGAAAAGAATGGTCTATTCAATAAATGGTATTGAGGCAATTGGCTATCCATTTGGGAAAAAATTTAGACCCTTTCTTCACACCATTTAAAAATAAAATTGCAGACAAATTAAAAGCAGAAGATGCAACACCCAAACTGGGATGCTATTATAAGAAGACATTGAAAAGTATAGTTATAATATTGATGTGGGGAAAACTTTCTTTGAAAGAAAGCACAGAAAGCAAAAACTTTCAGTAAAAAGATTGGTACATGATAGCATCAAAATCCTGAAGCGTCTGCATGATCACAGGCACCGTAAACAAAGTTAAAACACAAATGACAGATTGCGAGAAATGATTGGCAACTTTTATCCGGGGTGGTCTTCCTCTGTTTCTCTAACACCCCTCCTTTCAAAAAAATTTTGGCTTTAGCAAATATACAGTTGCTCTTCCTAGTGTCTGAAATTCTGCATCTGTCCACAAATCCTCAAGAGATCTGAAAGCTTGAATTTCACCTCCTCAGAGACTCCTTTCTCGTGCTTCGTAATCCAACCCGTCGCTCTCCTTTTTCCTCAGAGCACTGACTGTTACAGAAAGTGAGTTTGTATTTATTTCCTGCCTCTCTGTCAGGCTCCACTGACGTATGCTCCGTGTGAGCAAGGCCTTTGTCCTTTGCTGTATCCACAGCACCTAGCACAGTGCCTGGCATACAACAGGTACTCAGTAAACATCTGTGGATGTACGAAAACTATAGTTTTCATATGTATGTATGAAACTACAGTTTATGATCGCCCCCGATAGTGAGGCAAACCACCTCAAAGAAAATTAGGTGAAGAGTATGAACAGGGCACTTGCAGAGGAAGAAATGCAAATATGGTCAGTGAATACGGTAAGAGATATTTAGCCTCACAATTAACTAGGAAAATAAAATATGACAGGTATTTGGGTTTTATCAGTGTACATAGTCCATAAGCCTTATGACAAAAACCAGAAGGTCCCTGCCTTCACACTTGCACCATCTAATTCCAACTCCATGGAGTTAAATATTCTCATCCCTTTTAGCTGAAAAATATTTTTCTGATATTTTCCTCTCCGTTTCTAAATTGTATACTAATATGTCTCGGTTTTTCAATTTTGCATGTTATCCATCGCTGTCCTATTCTAGGCGACAAGGATTTAGCTCTCTTCTCATTCACTTGAAAATGCTTGACCTTCCTTCTTCCCATCATCCCGGGATAGCTCTAGCAGTATGATGTGTCTGATGATTACCTGCCTTTTCTTGAGTACTTTTTGTGTCCCAGAATTAATGATTGTGTTAATTTTTTGTGCTTTCTTGGCTTTCTGTGTACCTATAACCCATTCATCCCCAAACTGTCTGCTAGAGAATAATTTTCATCTCAGTGACATCCAAACATTTTTTTTCTTGGAAACATCTTTCCTGAAATCCTCCATGATTCTGTCCCAGGTGCCCTGTTTGGGTTCAAGATTGCTGTCGGCCTGGCTACTCTCTGGCACTTTCATTTTGCTGTCCCTCTGGACCTTACCTCCACCTTTCTCTAAAGTCAGATTTCCCAGTTCTCGGCTTTTTATAACCATGTCTTTTTTGGTTCACTCTTCATCACCAGGGGCTCCCCCTTCCATCCCCCACCAGCCAGCCCTTTTGCATTTTTAAATTATGAGTCAGGGCCTTTCCTAGTGGACTGTGATCCTCTTGCTTCAGATTCAGAGCTCTGGGATTATAGGCCTGTGTTACCATGCCCAGCTCCAGTAGCTTCTTGAGAAGGGATGCATGCAGAGTATATGTTTTAGCAACCTTTTGGTTTGAACATGTTTTCAGTTTCTCCTCACATTTGATTGGTCTAAAAGTCTAAGTTGCAAACCTTTGAAGACAATGATCCATTATCTCCTAGCTTCCAGTGTGTTGTTGAGGAGTTTGATGCTGTTCTGATTCTTGAGCCTTGTATGCACCTGCTTATCTTCTTGGAACCTTTTGGGACTTCTTCACAAAATACACTGAAATTTCACCAAATGTGCCTTGTTATTTATCTTTTTGCACCTAGTACGCTGGATGCTTGGTGCCTTCTCAATTCAGGAATGTGCACCTTGCCACCCTAACAAATGTTATCAAATTATTTCTTTAACAATCCTCCACTCTACTTGTCTGTTCTTTCTTTCTGGTACTCAAATACGGACCTCTTGGGGCATTCAAAATTTCTCTGTCTTCCACTCTTTTTCTATTTTACCTGTTCTCGACTTTATCTTCTTAGTAATTTATTTAATTTTACATTTATGCTGCCATACCGGCAATTTAGCAATTCTCTTCTATTTATTTTTTTTCCTTGACTGCTTTCTGTTTTTGTTTTATGGATTCTGGTTGGTTGTGGTATTACCAAAATATTTCCTATCCTGTCTATCAGGCTGGCCCATGAAGCAGACAAATATTTCCTGCCCTGTGGGTCATGGATATGTTTCTTGTTTAGGTCAAAGAAATGTGAGCGCTAGTGACATGTTCCACGTTTGAACAAAAGTGTCAAGAGTCATTGCATAATCCCACCATCTTGCTTCCCCTCTGCTACGAGCCCGGAATATATTCCAAAGAGAAGCTGCTTCATCAGCTTGGATCTTAGAGTGAAGACAACAAACAGCAGGGCCATAATCGACATGCGGATAATGTATGGCACGTGTCAAAGCACGCTTTCGTTGTTGCAAGCCGCTGAGATGGTATGGTTGTTTGTATTTAGTTTTCTTCTGTTCCCTGCTCTATGTTTATTTCTTCTGAAACAACTTTTCTCTTTGTTTTGGTCTGCCTTCCACATTAAAGGATTTCCTCAAATGTCTGGCTGTCCTTGGCTGTCTACTCATTTCTAAGAGTAAGGAACTAGAAAGCTTATTGGAATACCACGTACAGATTGTAAGGTCTTTCGACTGGCCTCAGCAGTATGAGTTTTCTGGACTTTTTAGGAGTCTCCCAAATGTCACCCCCAGAGGAAGCCTCCAGTCTCCTGCCTCAGAAGGGAGAGTCATGGCCTGCATTCCTCGATCTGAGCAGAGGAAGAGGACACCAGGGTCCTACCGTTTAGTACATAGACTACCACTTCTGCTGCAGTGATACATGGGAAATGCCTGGTGTCTCCACGTCCAGACGCACTGGGAAGGAAACCTCCAGCGTCTGTCAGTGCAGAAGAAGAGATTTGGAAGTTTAATTTTTTGCATATCAACTTGCACCCCACAATTTGTTTTCAGCCTAAATATACCCTTACTTTCAGAGGTAGCTGAAGCACCTCAGGCCTGACTGATTCTTGGGTTTGCAGAATAAACTGGGCTACTTCTGGGCTCCCTCCACTGCTAGCTTGGGTTTCTCCTTTCTCTAGTTCTTCTCTGTCTACTTTCCAGCTCCCAGCATTTTGGCGCAGTTGCCTCTCATCCTATTCTCAGTCCTTTCACTTACTGACCTTTTAAAACCCCTTTTCTGTCATTTTAGTAGGACTCGGAGAAAAGGGGAACAGCACTAAATATATTTATTCAATCTGGCAGGTTTAAACTTAAGTCTTGAAACACGAAATAACACTGAGACGCTGTTTTTTACCCGTTTTATTAGCAGTGTTCTTGCTAAGCCTTTGTAAGGTCACATGAATACTGGCTCATGGTGTATCCGTGGATGACAGAGAAGGAAAATGGCGCATCTGTGATCTGAATTAAGCACAGAGTTAGAGAGAAAGGTGGAGTTTCTGCAGTAGACTACAGAAACATGGAGGTGGTTAAGAATCTGCAAAGAATCTGGCTAACACTAAGAAAGGAGGTTAGAGGCATTTCAAGATTAATCTCAGCTCTGACTCAGGCCATGACACCATGAGTACATAGTAAGTGTTCAATAAATATTTGCTGCATGCATGAAAACATGAACATGGCAGGTCAAATTGAGCCATGCTTTGAGGCTCTTGTTTAGCCTCAGATAACAGGTTCTTCTTACCCCACCAGGTCCTGTCACTCATTGCCCCACCCCTGCTTTTGGGCAAGCAGCAATGCCAGGCCCACTCTCCAGGTAACAAGAACTCACCCTTGCCACTCAGGGAAATAATCTTCCAAAGGTCCAGACGCCTCACGCCAATGATCACTTTCCAGCTGTAGCTCTGAACCTTTGAGGCAAATTTTTTTAATCAAAATGGAAACCATTTCATTGTTTGTTTTCTTACTGTAGTGCTTACAGGAAACTATTTTTCAGTGCTCCATAAGTAGGAATGAGTTCTCCTCCTGAACCCTAACTGCCCAAACCCTTCTCTCCTGAACTCTGCTTACCTGCTTTTATTTCCTTAACAACTGTGTCAGGAATCTCTTTCTGTAGCAATACTTAAAGCGTGACATCGTTGTTTTGAATAGCTGCTGTGTATGAATATGCCATAACTCATTTAACCAAGCCCTGGTTTCCACTACAATACATAGACTGGTGATGAACATCCTGGTGTGGAGGTCTTTGCTCTCTTGACCCATTATTTCCTTAGGATGAATTCCCAGAAGTGCAGTTGCTGGGTCACGCCAGCTGCTCATTGGAAGGCTCCTGATACCACTGTCTAGATGTGGGAGGACTCCAGCTCTGAGGGGCCTGGAGTGACCCTGTGCCCTGGGTCTTACCCAGACGGCGCTCTTGCCTGTCACACTCATTCTTCTAAGGGGACCTGTGAGGGACAGTGGTAAAATACTCCCATCCCACTTCGCGTAACAGCAGATTATAGTGTATCAGGCATTTCATACATATTAACCAGATGCTCTACACGTATTAACCTATTTACGCCTCATGACAATCATAAGAACTGTACACTGTTACTAACTCCATTTTACAGGTGAGGAAACTGAGGCTAAGAGGTAAAATGACTTGCTTAAGGTCATGCAGTTGACAGAGAACAAGTAGTAAATGCAAAATCCAGGTAGTCCCGAACCATAGCCTACAGTCTGAACACCAAAATTCCTTTTCAAAATGAGGATTAAACCCTGGGCCTCATGCCCGCTAGGCAAGTGCTCTTTCACTGAGCTACAGTCCCAGCCCTTTGTATTTTATTTTATTTTATTTTGAGACGAGGTCTCCCTAAGCTGCCCAAGTTGGCCCTGAACTCATGAGGCTTCCGTCTCAGGAGAAGCTGGGATGACGGGCATGCACCCCCGCATGCAGCCTAACCCTTCAACTTTGTAATATTGTTTTCCAAAGCCAGGGTTTGGAGCATGACAGAGCAGGGTTCAGTGATTGTCCTGCCTCTCTGTAGCTGTGTGAAGTTAAGCAAAGCCCTTTACCTCTCTGAGCCTCAGTTTCCATGATGTACATCCAGTCTGATCCCTCCCACCTGACGTGGCTGTCAGTGTGCTCAGGTCCAGCAAGCAGCCCGGCAGAGCGGGTACTCCTTTGCCTGTGTGAGCTCCCTGCCCCTCCTGGTGCTCCGACCCTCACACACTCCCTCTCCAGACCCCATGACCGAAATCCCGTGGGAAAGAAAACGAAGGCTTGATTTTTTCCCCTGAGATTTCCAAGCCTCGTGTTGCTGGCTCTTTCTCACGCCATCTCTGTCACAGGCCAGAGCCCAGGAAGTGTGGATTTCGGAAACTCTGCCCCCACACACAGCCAGATAACCCTGTGGTGGCAGGCAGATGGCAGGGCCGGCCAGCTCGCACGCCCCTCCCAGCCTCCTTGCTGGAGGTGGGGCAGGGAGGGCGGCTGGCTCTGCTGCCCTGCTCCCACCTTCCCCGCTCTCTAGTCCTCGGGCCCAGCTAGCCTCAGATTCCGGGCCTCTGAAATCATTGCTCCAGCCCACCGGACTGGGCCCTCAGCCAGCTCCTCCAGCCCCAGGCTCGCCGGCAGAGTCTTCGCCTTTGCTCCCTGAAGACTAATCACTGTCCTGTCAGCTTGGCCCTCTTCCCCTGTATTATTGTACAGAAATAGCTCTGAGCCCGGCTTCCCCCCCTCTCCCCTCCCCGGTGCACTCTGCCAGAGAAGCTTCACTGGCTACTGGACTCTGATCTCTCAGTGCGCATCGCGTTTCCTCCTCCTCCCTCTTTTCTCCTCTCTCGCTCCTTTTGTGGCTGAGACTTGACCTCTACCGCCTGGAGCCAGGCACAAACTAGATGCGGCCAGGCTGTCAAGGCCAGGAAGCAGCCTCCCAGTACTCCTCCCCGCAGGGCCCAGAGAGGGAGATGGAGGCAATGGCAGTGGTGGGCAAAGTGCTCTTCTGGAGGGCCGAATGCATGCAGAGCTCGGCCTAAGCACAGAGCCAGCACACCCTGGCTGCAGGAAACCCCTGCTTCCTCTGGCTTGTGGAGTGCTGCCTGACCCACTCCTACCAGACAGTGCAGGATGGAACCGAGTGGTTCTTGTGCACCGCAGGCTCTCTGGAGAGGTGTGGCTTTGGCTGTGAGAAGTGGGGTGGGGTGGACAAGGAGCTGCTGGGGTCTGCAGCCCCACGGGAGCTCTGAACAGCTGGCAAGGAGCCTAGGGGCAGGTGATGCCCAGCAGTGGACGGGGGGAGGCAGGTGTAGAGGTGGTGAGTGGAGGGGATTTGTCTGCAGGCAGCAGGACCCTAATAAGGGCTGAAGGGGCACGGTTGGAATCTAGTGCGCTAGAACCAGCAAAGACAAGACAAGGGTCTTCAAGGCTTCTGGGAACTGGACAGGTCATCCAGTGCCCAGAGCAAGGATGGGCAAGGAGATCAAGGTCAGATTACAGAGGGAGGGGTGAGCTTGTGGGCAGGGGGCAGAGGGGATTTGAATGTTGGGACTAGCAGAGTGGGCTTGGAGTTGCCCGGGGTCAGAATGGGTGGCAGGCACGGGGCTGGGCCTTAAGTGGGGTCATGGAAATGATATCAAACCGAGTGTTTCTCGTGTGTCAGGCAATTTCCTAAGTGCTTTCTATGGATTCGTAGAAAAAAATCCACAAAGTCCTCCTGCGGTGGGCACCATCACTGTCTCTGTTTTAAAAATGAGGAAACTAAGGCACAGGATGTTAAGAAGGTGGCCCAAAGTCACACAGTAAGTGAAAGAGTCCAGGCCTGTTGTTTTTTTTTTCCTATAGCATCTGTCTAAACCTCTGCTCAAGGCCATGGTAGGCCTGGAGCAAGAGCCCCTGAGGACCTTGGGAGCAAGTGCCCCTGGACTCTTCCCTTGCTAGACAGGAGCACAGGGCAGATCTCCAGGAAGCTGGCTCTGCCAGTCCCACATGTTTGTGACCGTGGGCAAGCCACTGTCTCTCCCTGAGCCTCACTATCCTCATACCCAAAATGGGCACATAAGATGACTCCAGCACGGCTGCGTAGGAAAGAAAGTTTTTCCCGCTTCCCCCCAAAATAGCCTCAGCTCAGCCCCGCGTTGTTGGTCCCCAGCTGGCCTGACCCTGAGAGCTACTTTTTACTCTCCTCTTCGTTACCAGCTTGAGCTGCCGGCATGTGCTGCCCTACGGTGGCAGTGCCGAGGAAGGTAAGGTTAGCAGGGCTGGAGTCAGGGCTGCGGAATGAAGCCTGGGACCTTCAGGAAGACCTCCCAACTCCCCAAACCTGCATGTGGAGGAGGAAATTCATTGTTTCCCCCAATCCTTCCAGGAATTTCTCAAATTCATCATTCCTTGCTACCAAGAAGGATCCAGACCAAAGTGGTTTGGAGCCAGGTCAGACCCTCACTACAGCTTTAGGGGGTTTCCCCCAAGTCTGTAGCATGATCCCTGTTCCCCAGGACACTCCCTGTATCTGATCCTCCTCCTGCCTGGGTCTTCAAGCCGAATAATTTCCCCTCCTGGATCCCCTAGCCCCAGCCTTACATCTCTGCATCCAGCAGATGGAGGGCCCCATGCACCAACCCTCATAACCTAAGTGGACCTGGAAAGAGGCAGGAGAAAGCCAAGGAGAAGGCAGGACAGAGTGGACTCGGGTGGGAAGGGGTGGGAAGGAGTTAAGAAAAGTCCCAGGAAAGCGGGTTTCTCTCTCCTTCTCCCCTTCCCACAGGAAGCAGCCAAGGACCTTGGTTTTGTGACTCTGAGCTCACAGTCCATTCACCTTTAGCCAAAACTGACATGTGTCCTTGATGGGTTCAAATCCCAGTTCTGCTTCTTCCTAGCTGTACTGGGCAGGGAAGTCTACTTTTTGAGTGCAAGTTTCCTTGCCTTTCAAATAATAACACAAACCTCAGTGCCTTGTCATACAGGCTTTAAATGAGATACATATGTAAAATGTCCAACACAGTGTCTGCATATAGAAAGGCTCAAGAAACGCTAGCTGCTCTTGTGGTCTTTGTTGTGACAGGTACAAGGTCCAGCATCTAGAACTTCCAATACAATTTCTAACACATGTCTGAAGTGAAGTGGTCACTGAGGGTAATGAACAGTGCCAGATGGACCCTCTGCTTTGCACTAGTAGATTAAGTGACGTGTGATCCATGAGCCCTCCGTATCTGTGTGACCTGACGAGCACAGAGTTGGGTCCTACATCAGCCATCAGCAAAGGACATTCATTGGCTCCTTCCTCTCCCAGGCGTAAGGGGCTGTGTCCCTCCACTAGGGGCAGCCCTGGTTTGGCCCAGGTCTGCGCGCCATCCCCTGCCCTCTGGAGGATGAGGGCCCAGGGGTGGCACAAGCACTTGGAGATGGCCAGGGCAAAGGGGAGGGGGAGACTGAGCTGGGAGATGGATTTGTTGGCAAAACTAGTTGTACCCTGAGTGGCAGCCCAGGCTCTGGGCCCTAGACCTTGACTCCCAGGGTGTAATGATCTCTCTCCCTCATTCTCTTTCTGCCTAGAAAGCCCACAGGAGAGGGGGCCCTGGCTGGCCTGGCTTAGCAGGTGTTTTATCCATGTTTATGACCGACTCACAGATAAGGCAGCGACCAAGGAACCGTTGCACAGAGCAATTCCCTCAGAGGACTAGCTCTGATGGCTTCCAGTCTTTGAGCAGCCCCGAGGGAAGAGCAACCTTCCACCGGAAGCAGAAACCCAGCTGCCCTCCCACGGCCTAGGCACACTACCCCCTTTGCCTTTTGCCAGGGTCCTTCAGAATTATTTGACCAGGTTTTGGTCAACTGCCCAGCCCTAGAGATGGGTTCCTGTCTGCCTCTTCAGGATTTCAGGGTCTGAGCCTCCCCACCTCTTGCACGGTTCCCTGGAACTGCGGACATAGCAG